CTACAAGTTTACACCAAGAATCAAAAGACCTGAAAACCTTGAGGACATCACCTGGGGGGAAAAGAATGAGAACCAGCGCCCTTGATTCTGCCTCTGGTCTTTTATTCGTCAAACCTTGTGCAGTTATGGCTGAAACTGCTGCTTCTCAACTTTTAGTGTGTACAGGAATCACCTAGGGGTCTTGTTAAAGCAGATTCTGACACTGAATGGTGTGGTATGGTGAGGGGGCTTGAGATTCTACATCTCTAATAATCCCCCAGGAGAGGCCAGTGGTGGCCATGACCACACTCTGAGGAAGAAGGATAACCGTGTGCTGGGCAGGTGGGATACGGAGATGACTTTCCTCCTGTTCTTTAGCTAATGCATGAAGCACACTTAACACTCAATAGCACAATCATGTGTTGCTATGTGCCACGACAGAGGCGGCAAGAGGCTAGCGGTGGAGTGACTGGCTGTGCTTGGGGAGGTCTCCACAAAAGTAGAGGCTTAACATATGAGTGGAGTCTTAAAGGACAAGTAGAGTTTTAATAAGTGGCAAAAGGAAAGAAAGCTGTCCTAGGGAGGAGTATCATGTACAAAGACAGGTGAATAAAGTATGGTGTGCTCAGAAGACCTCAAGAAAGTTGGTGAGATTGGAACACTGACTGCATCTGAAACTTTTATGACCTTAGCTCTCAGGGAATCCACTTCTTCTGATAGGCTGTAAACTCCCTAAGGGCTGTGAAAGCACTGTCTGCTCACCACTGTATCTCCAGTGTCTGGCACATAGTAGACATTCAGTTAGCAAGCTGTTGAAGGGCTAGCCAGTTAGTTCAGATCATTAGAGCATGGTGCTAATAACACCAAGATCCAGGGTTCAATTAACATACTGGCCAGCTGCAAAAAACAAAAAAGAAAAAGATTAAAAAAAGCTGTTGACAAATGAACAAATGAATGAACCATTCTTGCTATAAACAGATGGATACTAACAGTTTGGGGTGAATGGATCTATTGAGTGAGTAGGCTGGACTAGATNACAGATGGATACTAACAGTTTGGGGTGAATGGATCTATTGAGTGAGTAGGCTGGACTAGATGCTCCAAGGACCTCTTCATTTCCCACCTGCCGTGGCAACAACTCTTCTTACTTCAAAAGTAGTGCAGTTTAGCACTAAAAAATATGGATCTAGCCAGGCTGCCTGGTTCAAATCCTAGCTCTTTACAACCGTGGGCAAGTTTCTCAGGCCTCACTTCCCTTCCCTTATCAGTGAAATGGGGATGATCATGATAGGTTCTGCCTCATAGACTGCTTTGAGGAATAAATGGGTGAATGCATGTAGACCTCTTACAGCAATACCAAGTCCACAGTAAACACTCTGAAAGCATCGTTGCCACGAGCGTTTTAGGCTTGTCTAAACAGTTAGGAATGCTTTTAGCTACAAGTGACAAAGAACCCAGTAAATGGTCACATTCTTTTCCACCTTTGTTACCTTCTCTCTTTCTCTCTCAAATACAACTGTTCAATTATAGTATAATTTTGTAAAATAATGATAACAACAGCTAATACTTAAAGAGCACTTACCATGCCAGGCACAGTCAATTGCCAGGCACTGTGTTTAGAGAAGTTCAGGAAGTTACCAAAGATCATAGAATTCATAGCTGGTGAGCTAGTATTTGAACCCGGGTCTATCTAGACTCAAATCCTACGCATACGACCATATGCCATGCCACCATAAATCTGTAGAAGACAGTGGCAGTGTAGTGGCTCTGCCAGAGGAAGCTTTGTAAACTGAAAAGCTAATGGCATCATGCCCATGTGTAAAAGCCTTCCCTAGCTTTCAGCACTCTCAGGACAACGTCTATACTCCAGCCTGGCTTACCAGGCCCTTCTTCATCTCCTCCCTGCCCACCTCTCTGACCTCATATCTCTCTCTCTCTCTCTCTCTCTCTCTCTC